TCTTCAGTGTTTTCCTTTTTCGAAAAGCAGCTTCGTTGAGATAAAACTTGCACAACGTGCGCTCCACCTATTTACAGCGTACACCTCAGTCGTCTAGCGTGTTTGCAGGGACAGGCAGCCATCCCATAGTTCCAGAACCTTCTGACCACCTCACAGAGAAGCCCTGTCCCCTAATTAGTGATGAGAATCTGTGCTGGTTTCCTTCGAACGCTTGATAGATGTGCTTCCGCCAGCAAGGGCTTTCTGTAAATGAAGATCGGATGTCTTAAAATCTGATCGATTCAGCCTCATTTTGAGAGACATCCCGCTAGAATCAGAAAGGCCCGGGTGGGAGGAAATGCTGCTCCCATTTTCCCTCTGTTGCCCCTCCTATTGTGTCCCTCTCCTCCCCACTTTGTGACTCAGTACAGCGCTGTGTTGTCTCTCCCTTTCCCCCAACACCTGTCATCTTCCCCGACCCCCCGTGGTGTCCCCGCTGCCCCTCCTCCTGACACCGCGCACCTCTGTGCGCGCGCTGCGCGCGGCGGAGGGAGCCGGACAATGTGGCCGGCTCTGAACCGTCTTCAGAGGCGGGATCCAAGCCGCCGCCTCCCGCTGGAAGCCCCTGTCAAAGGGCTGTGTGAGGGCCGAGGTTTTGAACTCCGCTTCACACTCACCTTTTCACAGAGGCTGGGCTGTTGTGATTTCCTCGGGCGGCAGAGGTGGCCTGTCCTTTATTTACCAGCCTGCACATGCCTCTGAGCTTCAGAAGGGATGGAGCCCGTGTTCAAGACCCAAATGAGCTTTCTGTGGCCGCCTGGCCTTGGAGGGGGCGTGTTGCAAGGTGCCAGCCACTACAATGACTTCATCTTAAGTGTTTAGAGGGTCTTAACCCTCAACTGATTCTCCCCCGGACCCCCCGCCGCACCGGCCCCGGCACTGGCAGAGAACCCTGTCTCTCATCATTTCGAATTCTTTTAATACCAAAAGGGAAAAAAGAGTTTTTGCTAATGTGTTGTTTCTGATACTACTACTGACTGAGTGAGGAAGGGCGCTCACACACACTGTCCTCCTCCCTATTCCATTTCCCCCCATAAAGGTGCCCGCTGCTGTGACCATGCATTTAAAGCAGTGGCTGTCTCTAACCGCGCATAGGAAATTCCCAGTTAGCCAGCCCTGGGGACCACAAGCGCGCCGCCCCCCACCCCCCACCGCCGGCGGTGGGCGCCGCCCCCCCCCACTGCCCCCCGCCAAGCTTCGGCAACCCCTCCCCAAGTCCAGGCCACTGAGGAAGGGTGGTAGCAGGCGTCCCTCCGGAGGGTCAGGGTTCCCCGAAATACAGGCTGCAGATCTGGGGAGGGGCCTGGCCCCTGACCTCAGTGGGGCCCCAGGACATGCCTCGGGAGGGCCTGTGTCAGTCGCCGTCCGGGCGCGGGCACAGCAGGGCCGTGGGAGCCCGGCGCGCGGAGCCCGGTCTGCCTGCAAACCGGTGGGGACATCAAAAACCCATCCACACACCTGGCAGTGGCGGCTCTCACCGAGGCGAGCGCCCAGCAACAGTTCATCAAAAACAGCCCAGCTAATGATCGGCTGGGCAGATAATCAGAGGAGAGTTAATTGTAAGGTTCGATATGGCATCTTGTCAGCAGAGATAAGTTGTCACGTTTTCCACTTGAGCTGAAACTAAATGATTGTAAAATAAGTTATGAGTGTCCTTGGGCCTGTCTGCCGGAATGATAGCTAAGAATCCATTCCTGGCCCATCAGTCTCGGGCAGGCTGCTTGATATTTATGCGAACGGAGTGTTATTTTATCCCTCTGGTCATGCTTGTCAGCTCCCCCAGTGAGGAGCGAGGCTGCCTCTCGGACTCATCCTTCACGTGCTGAGCTCGGAGAGACTGCAGATTGTTATCGTTATTGCTTGGATTATATATTTTTGGGGGTGTACGTCGAACATTGATGCCCGATTGGGAAGAACTAATGGCTGACACTGAGCGCGCGGGATGGCGGTGGACCGGCCCATCCGGCTCGGCGCCGCGCGGCCTGGGGACTCTGCGGCGCCGCCAGCGTCGCGGTAGGTGCGGAGTGATGGGGCGCTTGCCGGTTTTAATTCGGCGCCTCCTTTCCCTTCGCCTCGCCCCTCCTGTAGTGGTTAGCGCAGTCAACTGTCGTCATCGCCTGTCGCGGTGTCTGGTAATTGATACAAAACAACAGGCGTTCTTTGCGGACGGTGTTGCCAGGGCTGCAGCTGGAGCGCATTTGCAGCGTCGGAGGCCGGGCTTTCGGGGCCCCTTCACTCTGAGGGACACCTTGCCGGGCAGGGGCGTCGCTGTCGGGAGCGGGCCAGCCCAGCGGGGAGCTGTGTGCCTTTGAGTCGCTCCTGTTTTATCCTGAGGAGCGTTAACTGCCCTGGGAAGCGATTGCTCAAGACCCGGCAGCCAGGGGCATTAGCATCCCGGCGCCGGGCTCAGGGACCGGCTACCTAGAAACCGTGGCCCACTCCACGTGAGCCCAGGCCACTGTCCCCGCCGGCCTCCCGCCACGGCCTCCCTGACCCAGGGCCGCGCCTCGCCCTCTGCCGTGATGTGCCTCCGCGCGGTGGGTGTCACTGGCACTGCTGGCCACCACCAGCCCACCTGACCCGGCACACGGAGAGTCCTCGAGGTGGGCGAGTGGTTTGGTGGCGGCTGCCTGTCCTCGCCCAGCTGTTCACCCCTGCGCTGTCCCCACTCCCCCTTAGCCCATCCACTGTAGTGGCCGACTCTCAGCAGTCACCACGCTGCTAGCTGTCCTTCCCCCAGAGACAAAATGGGAGTCCCACTTCCAGGGCCACGGTGTGGCCTCGCGGCGCACACCACCGCAAACACGAGGCAGCCAGCAGCGATGGCCAGAGGGGGCCGCCTTTCGGGGGCTCCCTCCCCGGGCTCCCTCCCCGGGCTCCCCAGACCCACAGCTTCTGCGCGTGCGTGCGTGCATATGTACGCATGCGCAGCCTCGCACAGCTTCCCCGCAGAGGGGCGTGGTGCGTCGTGCGGGACGCTGCCGAACCTGGCTCCTCCCCAGCGGAACGGCCCCCTGGTGGTGCGGTGGGGGACCCTGGTGGCCTTTTCTCTGTGTGCGTTTGGTACGTGGGGTTCTGGTGGATGCTCCCCGCCACGCAGGCTTGGGTGAGGGATCGCCGGTCTCAGCACCTCCAGGGAGCTGCGTTCTAGGGCACGTTTGGACACGTGTGTCTAAAAAGATACCTTAGGTTGTGTTTTCCGTTTTTCGACGGATGATGGCATTTTCTAGAATGCCACGCAATGAAGGCATGTGTAACTCAGCTTGCGTTCAAGTATCTTAATGGTTGAAATTGTGTAGCCATTCCGCTCAAAACCACTTCCCGAAGTAGCAGCCGGGTCGTCCGGTGGCCACACGCCCCTCCGCCCTCGTGGCCCCGCTTCTCAGGGTCTGTTTCTCAAACGCAGCGGTGTGCTTCCTTGTCAGGGTCACGTTCTGGCTCTGTCCTCCACCCCCGTCATCCGCCGCCTCCCTTCTTCACCTTCTCTCCAGTCTTACCGCGAACGTCCCCTTCCCAGCGACACCTGCCGTGAGCACCTGTAGGAAGCCCCAACTCCTGGCACCACCTCCCCGACCTCCAGGCCGCCACACGCCCCTCTCCTTTCCGGACACTAAACCACATCCTAAAGGACTCTAGGCTGTGGCCCAGCCGCTGCCTCACGCCAGTCGGGCAGGACGCTGTGTCCGTTTTTCTCAGTGATGGTTCCTGAGCATCTAGAAACCCAGCTGAGCCACAGCCAGTGCTCAGACACGAAACAGACTGTGCCGAGATGTGGGAGGTGTCGAGATGGTGTTTTTCCATCCGTTTTCAGCTGCTTTTCTGGTCAAGCTATGTGGTCGTTGCTGGCCTTCCAGCACGGCGGTCTTCTCTTTGTTAAAGATAAACACAGACGTCATAGATCGAGTTTCAGTGACGGTGAATTATCGCACTTGTGCGTTGACTGTAAAATAATCTAACCAGCTTCCGTGAATCAGAAGTTGGTGGGTTGCTCTATCGACTTGCAAACGCCAGGGCTGAATGCTGGTGAGAGACCCGCTGTTTGCACTAAGAAAGTGGCCCCACAGTCGTGGGCTGCGTTGGGGCAGAGGACAGGCCAGCAGGGACACCTGCCCCTCGGTGCACACGCAGGAGACGACACCTCGCTGTGTGTCTTTGGGCGCCCTGCTTCAATTCCTAACCTGTCGACGTGATGATGGGAAGAGAGCAACAGGCGGCTAAAACGTGTGCGGCCCCCACTTGCCATCTGTGGGGCTCCGGTCTGGTTCGGTGGAGGGCAGTGACTTCTCCTTGGCACAGAGCTGGTGTTGGGGCGCGTGCCCGCTTCGAGTGGCAGGAGGCACGTGAAGACAGGGAGCCCCAGGCCTCTGGTTTTCTCTGCCTTTCCCCCAATGTATAACTGACACATCGCATGGTAGTAGTTCAGGCGTGTAACGAGGATCACGTGTTCTGCATACAGTGACATGCTCACCCGAGTGAGTCCAGGTAACATCCGTTGCTACAGTTACAGAGTTCTTTCGTGTGATGGGAACTTTGGACATCTATTCTCTTAGCGACTTTCAAATATACAATACAGCATTGTAAACTATGCGTATTGCAGACATTACATTCCGTGTACTATCGTTATATTTACTGTATGTTGTAACTTAGTGATTATGTAACTGGACGTTTGTACATATTAACCAGCTTCATGATGCTTTAGTGCTGGGTGCCCTGGGCCTCCCACCCCGCAATCTCGCTGTATACTCTTGTTCTGTGTTGTATTATACATATGTAATAGCTAATAGTAGGCTGGATTCCCCCGGCCTCCCGCCCCGCAGTCTTGCGTGTTATATGCTGTGTAATATACATGCCGTTTCCACAGTGGGTCACTTACGGGCTGGCTGGCTGCGGCCTTGGGGGACCAGGCCTCAGCGGCCATGCAGAGAGCTAACCCTGCTCCTTTTGCCTTTCCCTCCCTGCAGACACAGGCCTGGGCGACTCCCTGTGCTCCAGCCCGAGCATCTCCAGCACCACCAGCCCCAAGCTCGACCCACCCCCCTCCCCCCACGCCAACAGAAAGAAGCACCGGAGGAAGAAAAGCGCCAGCAACTTCAAAGCCGACGGCCTGTCGGGCACCGCCGAAGGTAAGGTCCCCCGGGGACGCCGGGGCGAGCCATGGGGTTCAGTCGCGATGTCACAAGCCCTGAGAACCACAGGCGCGCGATGGCCAGGCCACCACGGCAGGCCCTCGGGCCCTGTCGTCTCGGACTGGTGCTGGAGATCCTCCCACCGAATGACTGCTGTCGCCCGGCAGGTGGCGATGCGGGCGTCCCGTCACGTAAAAGCCGGGCCACTTCCCTGGTGTTCGGGGCGACCTGGGCCGATGGCGGCCACGCCCCCGGGGGCCGCGCGTGTTCGTTCCCTGAGGAAGACGCGCCTCCCCTGATTGAGGCGCCTTCTCCGCCGCGGGCGGGCCTGATTCCGATCCGACGTCCTCCCTTGAGAGCCTGTTGCTCGGTGGTGGTTCCATGAGAGGCCCAGGGGTCACGGTGTGCATTGCGTCTCCTTTGACTTGTCGCGTCCTTGGTCTGCGTTCTCTCTGACACCAGATGCAGTTTTCCCGAAGCAGCTCCTTCTGGTGGATTCACGGTTGTCTTTTTCCACAGATGCAAGTGGGGAGCCACGTGTGCGCACACACCACATTCAGGCAGGTAGAATTCATGCCGTTTTCGTAAGCAAGTTAAAGGCACACTTTGAAGGAAAACTAAAACTCCCAGACGTTGCTGGGCGGCGTGAGTTGTTATGTGTGAGGCCCACGGTGGTAGCAGGGCCTGTTATCTATGGGGGCACCACGTCCTGGGACCCTCTTTAGAACGTTGATGCTTCTTTCTCTGTCTGCACCACGCTTCTCAGCTTGCGTGACTGTTCACAGCCGAGTTGCACTGCTGGGTGTGGCGGTGGGGCAGGAAGCGGCCTGTCCCCTCCAGCTGTCAGGGGGAGCCTGCGAACCCACAGCGCACACGTGAGCAAGGCGAGGACGGAGCGCCTGGCGTGTGCGTCGCGCATGGCGTCCGCCCCGGTCTGCACGCCGGGCCGTGGCGGCGTCTCAGGTTAAAGGGACGACCGAGGTTCAGGGAGTCCGGGAGCTCGTGGGGGCGCTCACGGCGGCTGAGCGGGCGCATCTGAAAGCTCCGCCTCCCGCCCAGGTTCCTGCCATTTCGCCCCCATGGGCGTCCTGCTAACGGGGTTTCCCAACGTCCCTCTCCCTCCTGTCACAATCAGTGGGACTCATTCTGCGGGGGCTGCCGTGGTGAACAGCGGTGACTGCGGGTCAAGCAGCCACGAGATGCCACCGCGCTGCCCACTGGAGAAGGGTTTGCCCGCAGGCGCCGAGCGTGGACGAGGCCCCTCAAACACCTGTCCGGCGGAGCGCGCCAGCCATGCCGACGGCCGCAGCCTGGCCGGCACCGGCTCGGGGTAACGTCAGGAAGCAGCGCGGCCCCTCACCGGGGAGGGTCCCCCGTGCCCCGCACACCCGGGGAGGGGAGAGGAATGCAGCTTTAGGGAGAGGCCTCGACCCGCCTCACAATGAACATCTTACTGGGCTTGCTGCGTGTTTCCAACCAACGGCTCTTCTCAGAAGCGCCGCCTGGCAGAAGCTCTCGGGTCCGCCTAGAACCACAGGGCACACCTCTTACACGTTTTGATTGTCCCGCCCACCTACCGACATGGTGCAACCGTGCGAGTAAGATGCAGCTTCCGCGGGAATTAGTCACAGCCGCACGTTTCACTGGACACGGGTTCAAACCAGCATCCCAGTCAGCCCGCGGTGAGTTCGAAGGAGGTTTGAGGAGTGACCGTGAGCTCGCTGGACGCCCGCGATGCTCCCAGCCCACTTCCCGAGCTGCTGGGATTGCGCATGTGCTCCGAACAGTCGCCTGCGACCAGGCTGACAGATCATCCACCCAAAACAACCGCGGCGTGAACAGGAGGACAGACTCCCGGGCACCCTAGAAATACCCAGATTAGAAATCACAGCGGTGTCTCAGGCATAGGCCTTGAGTGATGGTCCGTGTGCTCAGAGGTTCGCTGCCGGAGGTCAGGGGAAACCGACCTGCTCAAGCTAACATGGGAGGGCGTGGCCTCCGGACACCAATGGCCCTGCTGTCTTCCCAACAGAAGATACGACAGGAAGTTCCCTGTGAAAGACAGTGTGTCATTGCTCCCTGGGAAGAGTTCCCTGCCAAACTATAAATGAGTCGTTTTCTGAGACAAGCCATATTTCATTACTCCTAAGAAATGCCCTTCTCCCCCCACATTTTAACCTCTGAAGTAATCCATCCTTACCACCGAGGCCATTTTAGATACACTGATGTTTCTAAGTCTCAGCACCTTTTAACGCCTTAAAAGCGCATTGCGTAAAGCACCTGCATTTCAGCGTTCTGTTCTTGCAGTTAAAGCTAGCTGCGCTTTTTTTTTAGAGGCTCCTGTTTAACCTTAACCTGAGAAAACGCCTTCCTCCCTCCGTCCTGTGGGCGCTGTTGCCGCTGGTCGTGGCCATTGCCTGAGCTCGTGCTGAAAAGCCTCAATTGCAGATATAAAATGTTTTATAGAAGATGCCATAAAGTAGTTGAGTTTTATGGTTTTTGACATACCCCATTGGAACAAATGACTAGATTTAATTCTCTTTAGAGTGTAAAAAAAATAAAATAAAATTCCACTGAAATCAGGGCTCTGGGGAAAACATGGCGCCCCCCAAGCTGGGCCGTTGAGGGGATTCTACCGCAGGTGCGTCCACAGAGCTATGGGGCCTGCTACAAGCCTGGTGGTACGACGGGGAAAGGAGGGGGCAGCCAGTAGGACCCAGAAACTGCTCTCTGGGAAGACCTCCGGTCAAGAGCTGTGACCTTCAGCCAGGGACATCTCCAACCTACGGTGACCAAGAGGGAGAGGGAGCCGGGAGGCGCCCTAACCTCACTCCCCCTCCCTCGCCTCTGGTCTCCTGCCCTCCCTGCTCCTTGCCCAGTCCCAGCTGGAAGCCAACAGGAGTGAACATCCCGGGGCTGGCCACGCACGTTGGTGTCCAGGGCGGGTGGTGGGGGAGGGGGGCACCAGCCAGAATTTGCGGAGCGGGCAGGTCCCCCCCGGGGCCTCCTGCCGGTCCCCGGGGGGCTGTGCTGCCTGTCGCGCATGGCACAGGAGACCGGGAGCTTCCTACGGGCCTGGCCCTGGCCGGCTGCGGGAGCGGCAGCGCTCCATGCCCTCCCCTTCGCGGGCTCCGGCGCGGAGCGGGTCTCGCCTCCTGCATATGCCCGCGCAGAGGCAGCGGCTCCCGTGCACAGTGTCGTGGCTCACGTTGCTCAGGAGTGGGGAGCCTCCGCCCAGGGGGGGCTCTGGGCGCAGCTGGCGGAAGGCGGGGGTCCCAGCCCAGGCCCCGCGGGGCCCCCGCGCTCCTCTCGCACAGCAGCACCCTCCTCTTCCGCCGGAGAACAGGAACTGATCCAACACTGGACGGCAGAAGGTGCTGCGACCGAACCTGCACGGGATGACCATTTCCTCTGGTTGACAATTTTAAGCGGAGGGAATCAGTCCAGCAGGTCTCCAGGGCAGAAATGGGACAGAAGAGTTCCTTTACGAGTGTTTGGAGTTCGGGCATGGCAGCTCGAGGGACTTGCGTGTTGTGTGACGAGCCACAGAGATGTTGTGTGATCAGGCCTGTCCCTGAGCTCATCAGCAACTATCGGTGTCATTTCGGGAGTGAACAGTGTAGAAGAACTCAGCCCCTCTTTACGCAGGCGTGAGGCGCCAGCAAGGCCCTGAGCTCGTTTGCTGATGGCATCGTCCTGTGTCATTAAAGCAAAAGTGCTCGGGAAGGGCAGCTGGGTGCCTGCTTGTTCCCAGGCTGAGGCCCAAGGCTGCTGCCTTTGGGTGGCCGGGCGGTGCTGCTGTGTTGGCCACAGAAGGGCCCCCACGTGCCCCCAGCACCCGCTGTCCTCACCGGGCACTCAGTCCCCGCCTGCCTGCCAGGAGCCTCCCCAAGCTTTGGATCCCCTCTTCGTCTCAGAGAGCGTGTGAGCTTTGTAAAGGCTGTGGCCCTTTTTGTGACGTGCAGCTGGGTGGTGGTCGCGTTCTGGGGAGTGGGCTGCTGAGAATGTCCGAACTGGGACACTGCCGCTGAGTGGGACTTTGGGAGGGGGAGTGCCTCTTAGAACCAACGTCCCATAGTCTTAACGTGAAACATGGGATGGTGCTGTGAAGCTTTAAAAAACAAACAAAAACGCTCAGGTATCCCATTCTACTTTATTCCCATTGAATAGACCGTTGGGAATATTAGCTATTAATATATCGGTGCTAGGCCCGATTCTAAGTCGGACTTGATTTGCTCAGAAGTAGTAGATGCAGGTAAGAAGACGTTGTGTGTTCAGATGCGGGCGCTGTACTCTGGTGGCCGCGGACCATCAGCAGTGAACTTGGGCGTTGGTGCGCGGGGGGGCGAGGGGGCCGCGGCTCGGGCCACGGAGGGAACCGGTGAAGTGAGCGACGTGGGGAGCAGGGCCGTGACAAAGGACGGGACGCGGAGGCGCTGGCTGTGTTCACAGGTGGGAAGCATCCTGGCGAGTCCTGGCTTGCCCCGGACGGTCCCGTGGGGTTGTACTGGGACCGGTGGGTGGAAGCTCCGAGGAGATGGACGCTGATTCCGACGACGCTGAAAACAAAACCCTGCGGGACCCTGGGCTGCCTGGAGGCGCAGGGTCCCTCTGCCGCGACAGTGTGCACAGCGCCAGTTGGACCGTTGCTGTGGACCTGGGGCTCTGGAAGGGCGACCGCACCGAGGGGCCTGCTCTTGGCCAGAACCGAGCCGCGGGGCCTGGGCCCGGGAGCTCTTGGGCAGCGGGCTCTGGCGGCTCTGGAATGACGAGCCACCTTGTGGCATTCTCTTTGAATTGTGATGCTGTCTCGTGCCTTCCTACACAGCGGCCAGCGGCCAGGCTACCGTTGCTGAAGCAGAGCAGTGGTCCCTGCCGCCCGATCTGTGGCCCTGCATCTGGCAGCTCTCGTTAGTTTCATAACATTCATGCAAGTTTGCGTCGAGTGTTAATTTCCCTGCTTCCCCAGTGACAAGGTGGAAGTAGAGAGAGGTTAA